AATTTGCATAGTATCAGTAGTAGGTATCTTTGGGGAGGCGGGGGCGGGGAAGGTAAAATGTATTTGAGACCCTGTACTTTATGGTAATATTATTTTACTGCACATCTGCTCCATTTGTCAGTCTGTGGAGACCAGGCTGCAGTTTCCCTATGAAATTATGCTTGTTATGGAAATGCTCCTGTCTGCAGCATTTCCCTAAACAAACTGAAGTAGCCAGACCCACAGGCATGGGTGACCTGCTGCTCCCTAGATGTCAGCTCATAATTGGCTATGTGTAGTAAGGTGGTCCTCGTTGAAGTATGCTTTCCTATGCGGCGCCAGACACGCGGTGTGTATAGAAATGTGAGTGGCCTACACAAACCAGGGGAAGGGTAATGCACCAGTCAGTGAAAGGAAATACACAATCAGCCTTCCTCCTGCAAATTTTTTCCCCTTTGATTTGCCCTGTGGGTGCCAGCCATCGCCATTCATGCAACATTTCCCAACTTTGCTGATCGGCGGTTATTAAATTAGGGCAATTACTCTGTGGCCTCGAGGTTCTTCACACTTATCTTCTCCCAGAGGCTCACAGACTGATGCTGGGCTGATAGAGGGCCCTTGTCAGAATAAAACTGCTCCACCTCATGGTCAGCCGAGGAAGCATCTCCGAGAAGACAGTGCAGTCCTATTGTGTTTTGGTCTCCTGCAAGTAGACTTGAATCTCTGGAAGTAACTGAATTTGTGAAAACAGAGTTCCCGTGTGGTGCTCACATGTGTAAACAGCTGTCTTCAGACCCCATCGCTAGTTATTTTGCTCCCATCCAGAAGAGGACAGCTCCTGTCAGAGCCCTGCATTTCAGTATATATTTATGTTGGGCGTGCATTGCCCTCTGGCGGCATGATCTGATGAGAGCTCTGGGAAGAAGTATGCCACAGCGAGCCTGCTGCTGGCCATTGCTCCTCGTCTGTGGGAGCAGCATATATTGCATTGCATGTAGTATTATGTTAAAAGTTGAAGTGAGGCCAGTGTCTTACGGAAACACACATCAAGCAATAATAATGTTGTATAAGTCTTTCAGTGTGGACCAGGATTGAAGTCTCTGTGCATTGAAAGCCCCTGTGAAGCATTTGGCATCAGTAACGGTGATAGGAAGCTTTGCAATGCTACATCATAGAAAAGAAAAAAAAAAAAAAGATTAAGACCTAACATAACTTTCCTGTGTATGTTAGTGTCGTCGTTTAACCTCAGCCGGCAACTGAGCATCACACAGCCTCTCGCTGTTAGTGTGCCCTGTGTGTCCCTGTGTGACTATTAGAATAGCCAAAGATTGGATGGTCCTTCAGTTTCCATAGGTGGGAGCCTTTATTTAGCAATACATGCAGTGCTAGTGCATTGCAACTCACAAAGTCATGGACCAGCAATGAGACTCTGTTTCTTGCTGGGGTTACAGTCACTTAGTGGCAGCTCGAGGGAAGACACGTGAGTGCAAAGGTAGATGCATCCTCCCTTTGCAAGGGTATTCTTTGGGGGGAGGGGGCGTGTTCTGTTTTTGTAAGAATTAAGAGTTGCGAGTATTCTGGTGTGGGTCGCTCAGCAATGTCGTCTGATGTTTGCTTGCATGTGCTAACTGAAACTGGCAGCCAGAGAAAGGGCAGGTATGTGAGCAAGATGAATGTCTGAATTTATATTCACAAATATATACGTAGGCTGTGGCAAAGTCAGTCCCTGATGTTCAATAATAAACCAGATTCCAGAAGTTAGGGTGTGCATAGGACTCTGCTTCCTTCTCAGCACAGTGCTCTTTATTTTTGATGGTGCCCATCACCATAGTAACTCACCAGAGCATACGTGTCTGACTTAGGCTAAGGAGGGAGCAGCCAGCCCCGTCAATGCGCAACCTTTAAGTGCCAGTGACTGAGGCGCTGTACAAGCTATACCCTGATGCTATGTTGTTTGTGTTGCACCAGTAATGAGCGTGTCCCGAGAGTGTCTTTAAAAGACTTCAGATTTACTCATTTCCTTCCCACGTGCCTCAGACACCTCATCTTCAGGGTCCTGCAACCTGAGGTCGTTTCTAAGTGATGTCATTTTCATGTGGTGTGTTAGGCGTGCCTTTCTTTGAAGTTCAGTTGCGCTAAGTCCTGTGCGTTATGCTGTCGCAAAGCCTGAAAACTGAGCAGCTGGACACGCTGAAGACGCTGTAGTTTTGAAAAAGGAAGAGGAGGATTCCGCTTAGCTAGCAAGACTGGAAAAAACAAGTGGAGCATTTTAAAGAGCTGACGTTAGAGAAGGCACCTTCTTCCTCTTCTGCCTTTTCCAAGGCAGCTGACCACTG